TTTGTTCATAAGCGGACATCGCTTTTATTTGATGGCCAGATGAAACGGGTAGTTGTCAGTTTAGTGTATCTTTTATTGTTGGATGGGCTAACTGATGCAATTGGTCGAAAGCAAGTCTCTGAAATTCAGAAGGAGTTAGACTTACCTGTCCCGTAGAAGTATCGTAATAAAGTTTGACATCGGCATTTTGTCAAAATATTGGTTTTAATTATAAGAATCTTTGGACTTTCAACACAATTTCTTCAAAACTAACATTTTCTGGTGTTTTTGCTATTTGAGCGAAGTCTAATATTACTCGGCATCGAAATAGCCTCTGTCTGAGACAAAGCATCAGCAGGAGTACTTTTGTTCCCGATACGTATCGAATACAGGTTTCAAACTTCGCTTTGTAATTTAAATGGTCCTAGATGTTTCGGAGAACATATATCTAACTTTTGGTGAAAATCAAATATTAGTGGTCTATAGGAGAGATTTCCAACTCAAATTGCAAGCGGACTAAATGCATGATCTGAAAAGTTACTCATGGGCCTCAAAAAAAAAAAAAAAAAAAAAAAAAAAAAAAAAAAAAAAATTAACTAAATTTAAGAAAAGTTGCTACATATTTTTGAAACACATATATAAAAATGATACAAGAAAAACATTCAAATTCATACTTATTTCCTATATGAAATCTAAAAGTTGTATCTGCAAAAAATTTCTTTTGGTGGCAGTGTGTAATTTAAACATATTGACAGCTAAATATTAAAATGTTCAGATTGACGTTTATTCATATAATTGAAATATATTGAAGTAACTTCTAAAAAACTTACTTCTCACTTAAATTTATGAAAACTTCCCAAGAGGCAACGCCAGATTAAGATTACAGACCCTAAGCAATTAAGACATTTTGGCTCTCACTCCCGCCTTTTCTTCTCATTCCTTCCCTCTCGGTCATAGTTTAGTTACACTTTACATTCCATGATAAAATTGACAATGGAACATTTTTGTGGTGCTCCGTTTGCTGAGTCCTTTAATGAGTCCCTAAGCACCTTTTCTTGGTGCCCCCCTTTCCCCTAATGCTCTAAAACATGTGCTTATTTTGCTTAATGGTTACCCCCAGTTCTGCAAAATGCAAAAAGAGACAAAAACTTCAAGATATATCATGGCAACTTATTCTCTTTCATTTATTTATTAGATGTTTGTATAACATGTACAGAAAAAAAAAAAAAGAAAGAAAATACTTATGTGTGTGAATAATTGTAAATTTCTTTGTTTCTTATGACACCTTTCAGGTACAACACTTCATAGTATTTCAATTTTTATAAAGTCTGCAATCTTCGAGGAAAATTATGAAAAAACGCATCTACATGACGAACTATAAATCCTCATTGGTAATCTGGTTCTTTTCGTTGACTTATTAATTTTCAACTGCGGAAGAGAAAAAAAAAACTGTTTATAAGTAAAGTTCTCCGAAACAAAGTGATTATTCTTATTGTAAAAAATCGTAACTGAGGATATTTGAGTTTTGACTAGTAAAAGTTAATCAAATTTGTATGCTCAAAATATTTAAATACGGCTTATATCACAGCATAAATTAATTAGTTTCATTTTTATAGTTTCAGAAGCGTTACCCATGTTCGTTTTTGGAAATGAAAATAATGTGAAATTGGGATCCAAAGAATAAAAATATTTAACTTTCTCTTAAGATTCGTGTTATAATAAATTACTTCGGGGGCCGCCGGTTTGAATTACTGGTCTATAGTGTCGTGACAGAATTACCATGTTCTAGCATATGTTTGGAATGTTTTATGGTGGCGTAAATTGCACAGAGTTCTGTATCAAAAGCTCACCACTTCTATTGAGACGACGATAATGAGCCTAGACATTACTTTTAGTTTCTCTCTGAGATTAAAAATAATGTAAAATCTCGAACTTTTTTTACATAAATAAAGTATTAAATGTTATCCGAGACAAAATTTAATGATAAATTTATAAAATTCGGTGGAGTGCACCCCTTTTTTAGAACTTAATACCTGTCATTACAAAGTGGAATATTGTATTCAGAATGATTAATAATAAAATAAGAAATAACCTGTTTTGCTAGCCGTATGCTCTTCGAGATAAAATGTTTTTAACTAATTGTTCATGACGAGATCCATCAGATTAAGAAAATTAATGATTTATTACGGTATGATCACTTTGACATCCTGTCTTTACGCAGTTTTCATAAATTCATCAAAGCATGTTAACTATTATTTTAATTATTCGTCTTCACATTGCACCATTAGTCTTCATATTCAAAATACAATAAACCTTAAATACCACCTTTTTAAGCTATGCACTTTTGAAAGTAACTAGTATTTCTGAGAACATAAAACACTTGTATTAAATTTCACGTCTCTAAGACGATGACCACCACAGTCCGTGCAGGGTCGTCTTAGAGATGATAATGTTTCTCCTTAGATAGTGCTCGTCCGTAAAGATCACGGCATGCCACTTTCCTTGAGATCATGGAACGCTGAAAACTTTTCTTCCTATAAATTAATGATCATTGTTTCTTTACTATACGCATTTCGGTTTATAAAAGATTTAAAAAGAAAAACTGTTCTTTCTTGAAACGGAGAGAAATTGTACTAAATTAAGCCCAAAACAAGTTATCTGAAATTTTCTTTTTTCCATTACCGATTACTTACAAGTAAATAGATATTTTATAATGTAAAAAAGAAATCTAAACACATTGGAAGCAAAAGGAATGGACACTGAAATATCTGCCCAAAAGAGGATTTTTAGATATTCATATCAAAATTTCCTTCGTATTAAAAATGACACAAGAAAATAAACTACTAGAACAAAGTTCTCAAAATCTTTTAAAGTTATGTGAAATTTTGGCATTTTATATTTCCAAGGAATCATTTATCAAGAAAATTTGTGAGCGCTGTTTAAACTAACAGTACTTTAGCATCAGGTGTAAAAGATCAAAAGCAACGGCAACTTAAGAATTCTTTTTCGGCCTTCAATGAAACTGTATATTAATGCATTTAATTTACACCTTGCAAAATAAAAATAACAATAACAATAATAACATAAAAGATAAAAAGATACAAAAAGTCTGAAAGCTTTCAAATTTTATATTACGCCCAAATGAGCGTTTTTTTTTAACGTTTTACGTGTTATCTTTATTTATTAAATATGTTCTTCACACTTAAACCATAAAATTTAATTCAACAGCAACATCACGAAATATTAAAAAAAAAAAAAAAAGCATATCTTTAGAGTTTCCGATAAACAGTCTGGCGCGCTGAAGATAATTATTTTTTTTTCCGTAGTGTTGCAATTACTAGATTTGAAATCGTTGAGTTTGAAATCAAAAATTCGTTAATTTTTTACAAAATACGAAATAGGCAGTTCTATATCTTCCATTCTACTGGGCTGAATGACGAAATTTAACTTGCGTTTTTCATGTCTCGAAAGCGCGACTTAGGGCATGCATTAGACTTATACATAGCATTGTTGTAACATAGGTATTTTGATACAAAATCGGAGTTCTAAAATAGCATACCAATTTTTTTCCATATTTCGATTCTACGACTCAAATTATGCTCAAATATTAAATTTTCTAAAATTTGATGAGAAACTTAGAAATTTAAAAATTTATTTCAGCACCAAGAATCTTGGCGAAAACGGAAAAAAAAATTGGCTTTTGTTTTCCTTTTCCTTTTTTCACTGTGCACGAGCGGAAGAAAGGTGCATCGTTCATTCTTTCCAATAAATTTAACAAAATACGTAAAGCACGTATATTACTTCTAACAAATATGCCAAATTTCCAAACGTTCCATTATATAAATTCAAATATATGTTTTGAAATTTTGAATAAAGAACTCTAATTTATGCCTAGACATGTATCTACTTTAAGGTGATGGTAAAAATCTTATAGGTTATAAATAAAAAAATTCGAAACATTTTGTAAAAATTACTAAAAAATACAAGTTTTAAAAACAAATCAGAAAATATCTGCGGATTTTGTTTGGATTGAACCTAAATTTCCACCTGTGAAAGAAAGAATCAAGTAAGTGTAGTTATAATAATAATAATAAAGAGATATTAATAAATATATACCAAACTGGAATTAACATGGAAGAACTAAAATTTTGAGAACTAAATTTTTTTAAACTACTCGTGCAATTAGCATTTTGGCATAATTTGAGGCGTAGAATAGATATATGAAAAAAAAAAAAAATCTGAAATGTTTCAGATTTTAAATTACGTCCAAAGGGGCGTTTTTTTAACATTTTGTGTGTTACCTTTCTTTATTAAATATCATGTTCCTCGCACTTAAACCATAAGATCCAGTGCAACAGCAATATCGCAAAATAGTTTTAAAACGAGCATATCTTTAGAATTTCCGATACAGAGACTCACGCGCTGGAGATAAAAATGTTTTTTCTGCACAACGTTGCCATTGCTCGCTTTGAAATCCTTGAGTTTGTTAATCAAAAATTCGTCAAAGTTTTAAAAAATAGGAAATCGATCATAAAACAAATTTCAAATTTCAAATTTGGTCTTCCACATGCTCATATTCGTTGGAGGATTACGTTATTCAAAATTCGATGACTCCGTTTCTAAGAAACATTACTTTTGTATTCATCTAATTCCAGTTTGTGCTTTTATTTTGAAATAGGTTGACTCACTGTTTGATAACCTTACTGCATTGTCTCAATTAAGATTACATTAACTCTATAAATTATTTATAATTAGCACAAAACTACTATTAGACAATATTTTCTTGTATTTTTCCTCTAATAATGCACATATGCTTTTATTATCTAATAAATTCACATTGATAAAACCTGCCCCTAAACTTTTTTTTGGGAAAAAAAGTAAGTCATTATTACCGTTAAAACTTATATTATAATATCAAAAAACATTTAAATTAATTTTTACAGTCATTTTACAAAAACATTTAAATTAAATTTTACGTGGGAAAGGTGTAATATAAATGAAAAATAAAATAATGCACATACCTTTTGACGCAATGAGCGGCTGTTAATACCCAGTATTTATTGATAATGACACCACCGCAATAATGAGTCGTTAGTAGCCGTACAGAAACCTGCATTAGAGAAGGTAAACCTGTAATTTTCTTATTTAACAATTCTAACATAAATAATAATTTCTTCCCAGCCATTTACTGCTTTCTATGCCAAAAATTCACGAAATGCTTTTTGAGAATGTTCTTGATTTTAAATGTACAATGAAATATAAATTTTTTTAAATTAAAAACCGAAACAAATTTTAAAGTGAAATCTTCAAAGTATTTTTTAAATTAGAAGTCCACAAAAAATTGTCATATCATATTTATATGAAACACTTTCAATATGCCTACATATTCAATCTTTTAAATTTTGATCTTTGTTATGCGTTAATATTTTGGTTAGATCATAAAGGCATAGTAAAATAACGATTGTAATATCTTTGCATATGTCAGCACTGTTGCTTTCCAACTGTTTTTCCTGACTGTTTTAAAACTATGATCCCAAATGCAGTCGGTTCAGCCATCCAGTGGACATTTAAGAGATATAAGAAAGCGGTTTTGGTCCAAGATAAATTTAGAGAGCACTGAGGACCAACTGCCACCCTATGGGCAATACTCGCAAAAAGCGCCGAAAAGTTTGATTAGCACTAAAATTCACAGAAAGTATATTTCAACAATAATTTTAACCTCTAGAAAACCAAACCCTTCGCTGACATATATGCTTAGATACCGAAACGCCTAAAATTCCATTTGGAAATCTACAACAGCCCCCCCCCCCAAACTAACGAACAAAGAGGTTTGAAAGTTTTAAATGATATTATTCCTAGTTGCGTTCGATTGCATATTTTAGGGGAAGAGTAGAAAAGTGAACATGACGATCTCGGTCATTTGGACGGCTGCGGTCGTAGCTTTTTGATGAAAGGGCCACAGCAATTGTGTGTGCTTCTATCTGTAAGTTTGCACAGGTGAATCGTATCAATAGTGAAGTTCGGCAATTTAAAATTGCTGATGACAAATATGACACTAAATTTCGGAAAATTAGCGTAACTGCACCAAGCTCAGCCCTCTGACTAATAATATCGTATTAATTTCTTAATTAACCAAATTTCAAGCAATACACCATCACTTCAATATTTTTTAATTAAGAAAATTTTAAAATTCTTTCCTTGTTTTTCAATATAAAATGCAATTACTTCAACTAACTACACTTCACTAACAGGGCACTTCAACTAACGGGGCCGATATAGAATCATTGTTTGAAGTAGAAGACTGCGACCCAAAAAATTTTGATTTCCAAAACGAGACCCCCCCCCAATGAGTAATTTTTTTTTTTTTTTTTCCTTCGAAAAGAAGCTGGTAAGTTAAAAAAAAAGGTTGAAAGCCTATGATTTAAAACATGTCTTTCTTATCGTTGGCTAAATGTGTTGAATATATGGGTCTTGTATAACTAAAAAAATTAGATAGAAATGTGTGTCTTAAAATTCTGATATTAAATACTTTAATTCGTGAACTTCTGTTTTTGCATTTTGCAAGATAATTTCTCGTTCAAAATCAGCTTCTTAAAAAGCTACAGGCAAAAGATTGAATCGTGCTGTTTTTAAGCCCTGGTGCAATGTCTACAGATAAAAGAATTTTGAACGGAAGACCTTTATTCTTCGTATAATTTCGTCCTTCAGAACGAAAAAATTACAGAACCGATCGGTAAACTGCTTTAAATTAATCCAACTTTCTTTTTAAACATAATTTAATTTAAAAGTCTCATAAATCAATTTCTTTTTCTAACATGCTTTCGCCCCCCCATAGTACATAAATTATATACAAATGGAAAAAAATACATGAATAAATAAATAAAAATAAATAAAGAAAGAATAAAAAATCTAAGAAATTATCAAAAAGGCTCTAAAGATGAATCATTTACTATACAAAAATAAAAATAACATATGTTTACAGTATATATTATGATCACATGTCTTTTGAGATAGCGGAACAGCCATTCCGTGCTTTCAGAAAAGTTATCCTTTTTATTGTGATGTGCAGAAATAATCTCCACAACATCACCCGATTCCCGTTCTTTAACCTGCTTATAAAATTTCAAAGCCTTCTAATTAATAATGTTGCCAACTATGGGAATTCTCTTAGCCTATTATCTTCCATACATATCCAGAAGGATTTTAATGGAATAATTTAGGATCATTGTGGCTTCATTTAAACTAAACTCCTTAGCCACAGATGTTGAACTTCGTCCGGTTTCAAGACACTCTAAAACTTTTATCTTAACTTTCAACAAAATTGCTTTTTCATATGTTTCATAATTTCGGTGATACTCGACATTTAGAGTTAATTTATATTGCAGAATATGCTAGTCATCCTCAATATCCAACCAAATCCACACAACTGATTAAACTGTACTGCGCAGTTTCTAGCAATTTTCGCCCCTCCTACATACTTCTCTGCGCATGCTGACTAGTAAGTGCATGCAACAGGCGTAAAATATTCTAAAAGTGAATAATATTCCCTTTACGCATTATTAAAATAATTGTTCAGTTGTTTTTTTAATAGCCCTGAATGGCTATTAATTTCGTTTTGGCATTTTGCGCCGAAATTTAATGTCTGTTTCACTTTTCAAATTGTTGCCACCAAATATTATCGCCCTGTGTTATATTTATAGAAAGTAAATATAAAGAATCTGCTTAAATGTATGTATGTTTCTCGCATTGTGATAAAAAAACGGTACCTACAGCCATCTAATTTTGAATAACGTACGTTTCCACCCGTACAGTCATCACTTGCCCAGAAAAAGACTACCCAGAAAAAGATTTTTCAGTAAATTCATCTCTACTACACTGACTCCCAATAAGTATTTGGACACCTACGATAGAAAAGAAAAACTAACTTTATTCAAAATTAATAGTTGGTAGAGCCTCCACGAGAGGTCATTACAGCGTGGACCCTCCGGGGTATACTTTCCACAAGTCTTTGTATGACAGCTAGTGGCATTTTCTTCCATTCGGCTTGGAGAAGACATAGAAGTTCCTTCACCGATTTCGCACGGGTAGTGCACCCCTGAATTCGGCGATGCAACTCGTCCCAGAGGTTCTCGATAGGGTTCAGGTCTGGACTCTAGGCAGGCTAGTCGATTCGATGAACTCCATTGGCACCATACCAAGCCTTGGTTAACGTCGAAACATGACAACTGACATTGTCGTCCTGAAAGTAACAGGGGTCCAACCCGAAAACTGCCACAACGTAGGAAGCACATTGTCATCCAAAATAGTGCAGTAGTTGAGCTTACCATGAATGGGGACCAAGGGTCCCAGCCCATACCAGGAGAAACACCCCCCGACCATAATTCCACCTCCGCCGAACTTGACTGTTGGCACAATGCATTCTGGCAGGACACCTTCTCCAGGTAGACGCCAGACCTAGACCCTGCGATCCGAAAGGTAAAAGGGTGAACCTTCATTCGTCACTCAAAGAACCCGTTTCCACTGATCTACGGTCCAATTTCGATGTGCTTTGCACCACATTAACCGAGCAGCGCGGTTGGACTTTGCGATCAAAAACTTATGGGCAGCAGCACGACCATGAAAACCAAGCAGATGTGCTTCCTTACGGATGGTATTCATTGAAACAATACTCCCGTATGCCTGTTGAAACTCCTCGCGGATGAGGGCCATCGGTTGGAAGCGGTTCTTCCGAATTTTTCTGGACAGCACTCGTCGGTCTCTATCTCCCAGTTTCGTTGGTCTGCCGACTCGGGGCACATTCCGGCAATCACTGCTCACCTTCCACTTCTTAAGCACATAGGCCACTGTCGATTTTGGGTACTTCAGATCGCTAGATATGTCCCTTAAAGATCGGCCACATTTCTGATACCCGATAATTATACCTTTCTCGAAATCAGAGAGCTCCGAACTGCGAGGCATCTTGCATGCGACTAAAGCCGATGCTGTTTCCTACACGATGTATACCGCGGATTCCGTGACGTACCTTAGGATTGCAGATATCGTCATTTGCATAGGTTTCCAAATACTTATTGGTAGTCAGTGTATAAGTGACACAAGTTATATCAAGATTGAACAGCCTGAACAAAAAAGTTATATTATCGTCTAAAGTTTGCTTCTGTTATTAACGCGTCAATAAACAGAGAACGTGCATATCAGCAGACGTATGTAATTATGTGCATAAAAATACTTTTAATGATACGAGGAAATTTTAATCAATTGTGATGAAAATGGGAAAACACCTAGGGGCCCATTTTCAGACAAATTTATGAAATGTCAGTAGGAAGTAGCCTACCATACAAAATTAATTAATTCAATGTGTTGGTCATAATTTAGAACAAATTTTAGTGAGCCAGATAAATGCGTCTTCTTTTTATTCTTTGCTATTAGACATTATTCAAGATATACATCGAAGATGAATCAATTGAGTGTTGTTTTAAGTTATGTTTATATTGGAAGAGTTAATTCAAAACCCATAAATTTTATAATTAAAGAAACATTCCTCGCATTTTATAATGTAAAAGCTCATTCTTCCGAAGGTTTGAAAGAACTCATTCTCAGTTTCTTGACTGAAAAGAAATTTCAATTAAAAAGCGTTATGGATAAGATTATGGCTGGACTTATGTTATGAGTTGTATCCATAATTGTCCTCCAGCAAAAGATAAAAATTATTCAACCATCTGCAGAATATGTACACTTAAACCTCCTTATTAATGACGCTGTGAGTGGTTGTAAAGAAATTACATCACTTTTTGATATACATTACAAAATATGTATTTATTCTGTGGGAAAATCATAAACCGATGGAATTCATTAATAAATTTTATTGCCGAATTAGAAATATTTTAAAAAAAACTAAACCAGAGTCTTTGATCAGCTAAGATTCGCTAAATGCATTTAAGATTCGCTAAATGCATTTAAGATTCGCTAAATGCAATAAAGTTATGTTTTGGTGGTATTTTGAATGTTTTAATTGAAATCTACCTTAAAAGCAATTTTAAAAAAATCTGTTTTTCTTTTTTGTTTTGTGGATGTGTATACCACATGACTTCCTTGTATTGGAATATTAAATTATACGCATTTTTTCTTGCATTTCATTTAAACTTATTGGATTGAATTAAATCTACATCGCCGACAGCGCATAAACCACAATAGAATAAATGCATTCTTTAAAATCCACTCTAGTATTTGTTTACCATAGCGACACTCTGGCGCTAAATTCACTTAACAGTATTAATAATTATATAACAGTTAACTTATATAATAATTATATAACGGAAATTAAGTTAACTGTTATATAATCCAATAATATATAACAGTTAACTTATATATTTCGTTTATATTATAACTCAGAATGCACAAAATTTATATCATTTAAATTATCTAATCGTTGCCACATGTTCTATTCAAAAACTGTAATAAAGCTAGAATGATGTATAAAAGAAATTAAGCAAAACAAAACAAAAAGAAACAGTTTTTCACAGACGATTGAGTATTTCTCATTTAATTAATTCAGTTCTCACTTCGCGAGAAGGCAAAAATACATAAAAACTCAAAATATATATATTAAAAATTACGAAGTAAATCTGAAACACTTATTTCCTCGAAAAAATTCCAGAAAGAATTAAGCATGATTTAATTGGCAATAATAAATGAAAGCGTTATCTTTGTTGTTGCGAAGCTAAGTTTCTCTAGATTGGCAACAAATCCACTAGTCTCCTGTTTCAAATGTGAACATAAATGGCCGCCATTAAAAAAGGCTTAGCGGCACTTAGACAACTTTAAAATTGTTGATAATTCTAAAAGTATTGCCCACAGATTTACTAAAGGCATAAAAACCTTAACCGGAAGATAAAAACAACATAATACAATCATTTTTAAAGCAAAAAATGTGCAATTTACAAACATATAAGAGTAAAGAAACTGAGATCACTGAGCCGGGTAACAGAGTGGATATATATATAAATATATTTATATACGTTTGTGTGCGGCCGATTGCAACCAAAATACGAGGTGCACATCTAACATGTTTATAGCAGTCCTATATACAAAAATTTCAACGTTCTGAGGCTACTCGTTTTTGAGTTATGTGAGATACGCACGTACGTACATACGTTCGTACAGACGCCACGAAAAATTCTCTTCAGAATTAATTTTAAAGCACTTTTATAATTTTTTTGAAGGAAAAGAGTATTTTATTCTGTCCTTACGTACAGATATCACGCAAAAACATCGTTAAATTGCATTCGATAGCGGTCAAAATGGATATTTTCGTTGAAATATGCTGCCTGAAACTTTTCGCGATTACAATACTTCCTTTTTACTTCGTACAAGGAAGTAAAAAAGAGGAATGGAAAAATGGTCTGCTAATTAAAAAAAAATAGCAAATTTAGAATTTATTGTTATTGTATGTGTATGAGTAAAGTATTAAATGAAACAAATTACGTTTCTAAAATATTACAGAAAAGTAATATATGTCTAGATGCAACTACGCAATGTTCAAATAATGCCTGCATAAATGCAAAGTAACTAATTTTGCAAATAATGCAAAGTAACGAAACGAATTTGAACTTATTTTAGCAGAATCGAAACATTAACATGACCGAAAAAGGGAATATTACTTCAGAATTTCTAACCAAGAGACAAAATAACACCAAAATGTCATTTGGACTAATTTTCGACTTGCCATATATTTCCCTCCCGTGAAGAATATTTTAGAATGAAAGTTTTTAACTGCGTTTTAAACATTATTTTAGTGCAAATAAATTACTGACGTATTGGCATGATAAATGTGAGAGATCAGTTTGGTTTTTTGGAACCTCGTTATATAATCCATGTTAAAGAAATTGAAATAATATAAAAATGTAACAAGTTAGTAGATATTTATTCTGAAATACTGTCGAAAAATTTATTTTACAATTTATAAATGCACTACAGCTGTGGAAAGATGACCTTAATGAAAATATGGCCATTCAAGAATCTGGGAACTTAATGTTAAAAAAAAATATCGTTCAGTGGAACGTAACTTCTATGAAGTGTAAAAAATAAGACAGTTTTCTCTCTTTTTTTTTTTAACGATTCCTGTAACTGTTACTACAGTAGAAAGATCGTTTTCAAAGCTAAAAATTATTAAAGATGTATACACGAATGCAAGTTTCATGCTATTTGGATGTTTCCTGCACGGTGCTGCATTTTGGATGGCCAATAGCTTATAAACTTTTTGCTTCGCTGATGAAATTGTTTGAAAATACGTGTGTATTCATATAAGTATCTGTTTTTTATTAATATTGTGAATTATTTGAAATTATGTTCAATTTTTACTCTAAGGTAGTTTTTGAAATTTTTGGAATGGAATCGCAATCACCCAGATGTTTATACGGCTTTTGAACTGATATTAGGTGTCGATCCTTGGAACAACCATGAATCTCATCTTTAGCGTTTTTGAAATTCCGAAAACCGCATCAAAAGGACCACTTTAATTAATAAATATTTATTTTAGAAATTTTCTTTAGAGAAATGAAAAATATTTGCATAACTAATAAAGCAAAGGATCTAAAAGAGCAATCTGCCTAAGAAAGGAGATGCTTTCGCAGAGGACTTTTAAAGAGTAAATAGATGGTCGATGCCTGAATACTGTGAAGAAGGGAAATTATTAAGAAGTGTTACATTTCTGTTTGTAGTTAGCTGCTTGATGACAATTGTATTATGCAAAAAAAAAAAGTTCCTGCTTTTCATGTTTAGTCATTGAATCCATATTACCAGATAATTTGATGCAGCAAATGAAACAAAGAAAAAAAAAAAAAATTCATTCTGCAAGCGGATATTTTTATGGAATCAAATTGAAATATGTTATCTGCCTTTGCCACTGATTATCGCAGCCTCCACTGAAAAACTAAGTCTTAAAGTTATCCATTTTTATATAATATCGCAGATATCTTAGTTATCTACGATATTACTTAGTTATCGTAGTTAAGATCATTATTAGTCCAAAGGGATTTGAATCCCGAAGGACTATTAGTTTCGTTTTGGCATTTTGCGTCGGACGGATAAATGTCGGTTCACTTTTCAAACTGTTGCCATAAAATGTTAAGAGTCCTGCATTATATTTGAAGAAATTAAATAATGAAAAATCTGCATAAATGTATGTATATTTCTCGTATTGTGATAAAACAACGGTACATAGAGTCATCGAATTTTGAATAACGTAATCCTCCAACGAATATGAGCATGTGGAAGACCAAATTTGAAATTTGAAATTTGTTTTATGATCGATTTCCTATTTTTTAAAACTTTGACGAATTTTTGATTAACAAACTCAAGGATTTCAAAGCGAGCAATGGCAACGTTGTGCAGAAAAAACATTTTTATCTCCAGCGCGTGAGTCTCTGTATCGGAAATTCTAAAGATATGCTCGTTTTAAAACTATTTTGCGATATTGCTGTTGCACTGGATCTTATGGTTTAAGTGCGAGGAACATGATATTTAATAAAGAAAGGTAACGCACAAAATGTTAAAAACGCCCCTTTGGACGTAATTTAAAATCTGAAACATTTCAGATTTTGTTTTTTTATTTCTTAATTTAATTTTTTGATTTTCAATGTTCTCTTATTTTCGACCGTCTTTTATTATGATCTTCTGAAGTTGTGCTTCAATTTTTGCCGTAATCTCTTATTTTGAGAGTAGATTGGATTATTCGAGTTTTGGTAACGCACACGAGGGCTATCTGTCTAGAGGGATACCTTTTTAAAAGACTTTAAAGGGAGGGAAACTTTTTAAGAAACTAGCTAATCTAAATGCTTCATGTTTTATTTAAAATTTAAACCGTGATTTATAAACTTTTTTAAGATTTCATATTCACGTTATACATGGGGGAAAGTCATGAAAACGCTCATGCAGCTAGTCCGTTCGCTGCATTGAACCTAGATCGGACTATTAGTATTCAGTGATCTTTCGGTTCAGCTTTTGCATGGTCAATTGCATTACTTCGGTTACTGTGCCTCAACGATCCTCGCGGGCATGACTGTGAAAGGAACGAGGGTTTGGCTACCGCTTTCTGATTACTAAACAGACGTAACGAATTCGGTCGTGCGTTCGTTTCCTCCCGTATCGTGGCTTTAAGAAATGGCATGCAGGCGCAATTCCTTCTGCAAGGCAAGGATGTTCTTTAGGCTGGCAACTGAAGTATGACAACCACTGCTTGCTCCAGGTCGTCTATAAGAGTCATTCACACTAGGGTTTATCTGAACTAATGGAGACATCTGGCATAGCCAACATAGATCCACGGTGCTCTGAAAAATCTGAATTTCACGTATAGCGGAGCTAGATGACACATGGAACTGACTCCATTAGCTCAGATAAATCCCACTGTGAATGGCTCATTACGGGTTTACGCATTCTTCGTAGAGAAGTTTTTTCGCGTCTAGGTAGTATGTTTGTTCCTTTGAGTTTCGTTTATATAGGTGTTTTAGCAAGGATAATTCAAAGACTTCTTCAACATATCTGCAACCAGCTCAGTTCCCGTTGCTGCAGACGGCAGAAACGTATTAAAACTTGAAACAAGGGTTTTCTGCATCTGTGTCCCACTCCGTACAACTCCCTCGATACTCATCAATGAATTAACGACAAGACCGTTCGTTGTTTTTCTGCGCACTAGCTCAGGTTTTTAGCCTAGGAAGCAATGTAATGGTAACTTTACTTACCGCCCATGGGAATTCTCCTTCATAAGCTTCTTTGCCGCCGACGATTCTTCCTCTTCTTGCATATCGCCTGCCACACTGCATCTTTGATTCTGTGTCATATTATAAAATAAATAATTTTCGAGTACACAATACCCAAAACAAGCATGATCAGATAAGTCTGATATTCTACTAACAGCAATAAATTAAAAATTTGGTAAACATCTATAAGTATACACATTTCTACAAGTATACACATTCTACAAGTTTTACACATTTACAAGTACACACATATACAAGTATACATTATTCAGTTTCAGAATTATTAACAATTAAGGTCTGTTACGAATTCGTAGAAAAACTAAAAGAGATTAGCTACATATAATGGAAGTATGATAAAAATACGTAAAAGCAACTCACAAACTACAGTTACCATATAAAAATATCTGATGTGGACGCTACATGATTTCCTTGTACGGCCTATTAAATTATTCGGCCTATAAAATTTTTTACTTCGTACAAGGAAGTAAAAAGGGTAATGTTGTGAAACTGCATGTGTGTGTCGTTTAAGGAGATATGCAAATGATTAGAAGTTTGGAGTAAAAATGCATAGCATTAAGAAATAGTAGTAATAAGAAGTTTCAGCTGTAAGATGTCGTCAATTTAATTTACTTACTACGCCAAACACTAAAAGTTTTGTATTAAAAATTTGTTACGATAGACAAGCTGTTCTGCTCTAACAATTTCCCCCACTCGGGCAAATTACTTTCATAGTTTAGGATCGATCGGGAGACGGACAAGATGGTTTTCCAATGTGGCATTTCCTGCCAGTTTATCCGGGAGCTTTCTCCAGAGCGGCTAGGTAAACAGGTAAAAGTGCATGGAACACCAACGGCTTCACTACAGAGTCTAACAGGTATTGCCTCAATACACTAACAAACTATAAAGTATGAAAAACTGGAATTCACCGTATGCTTTTTGTCCTTAATAACATTGGAGATTCGATCATAGCTCCGAAAACAATTCTAAAGTGAATCCGGAAAATTTGTATTAACGTATAGCATTTCATTCGAATCATGGCGTATTATTATGCCTAGAGTCTCGAACGTCTTCTTCGCTGTTTAATTCAGCCTTAGTCGTTTGCCTGTAAATTTGCACAAAAAAATAAGAATTCTTTTAATAGGGTGGTTTTTAGGTTCAAACATATTCTTGACCTATTTTAATAACCAATGGATTCTTTTTTTTTTTTTTTTAATTTTTGCATACGTATTTACAATGACAGCACAGTACACCACAGCGATTATTTTTAACTCCATATAATACTTTCTTCCTTTTTCCTTTACAGGAGTAAGTAAACAACTCAGTAATGCAAAGGAAGTACAATACAATAATGCCCGATATCTAGATCGGAGAGAATAAGAAATATGTATAATAATAACAGTTCTCTCTAATTTTTTTTTTCATTTTTTTTTCAGTTGAAGTGACTTTTTTTACATATTTTTCGCACATGCGTTGCTTAAATAACAATGTAGTTACTGCAAAATTTTAATTTTAATACCATAGGATAGAACCTAAAATATCCTCTAAATGAAGCTCGTCCAGGATCTCTAACACATTACAAGAAATTCTGGCGACTTTTCCATCTGATCTCACGTTCACAGTAATCGAATATTAAGGTTAACAACAATATAGGATTTGTTAAAAAAAATCGCCGATTTTTAAAGCAAAATTTTCGAACGGAAATACAAATAAATTATTTTAATCACGAATTGCTGGATAGAATTGGTAGCCCTTTAAAAAAAAAAAAAAAAAAAAAAAAAAAAAAAAAAAAAAAAAAAAAAACTCAATTTGCACTTTGTAATTATGCTGGTAGGAGAGAATAATTTTCCTACTCTCAGAGGTAGTGTTTTCTGTACTTTTGGCTCATGCTCTGAATTAAGAAGCATAAAATAAAAAACTTTTAAAACTAACTGTTTTAAGTTAAAATGCACTAAAAGGGAAAAGTATTTTTTTCACTACCACAAGATGTTTGATAATATGCGAGTAAAAGCGTGAATAGCCCATATAAGCATTGTATTGCGACATTAAGAGAATTTTAAGAAATAATGAATCTGATAGTATAAGGTATTACATATATCTGAGTGATTATATTCAATTCATTGATTTTTTTTCCTTCTTCTTTGAAAACTTTGATTTTGAATCATGATTGCTAGTAGCCCAAAGATTTTATTTTTATTCGCAGAGAATGTTGTGATAGCTAAAAGACATAGTGTTACCTTTAGTGCATTTAGCTAAAAAAATAATTAAAACACGACGAATAATTCAATAATTGGAAATTTTAAAGAATCAGATGAAAATTTTGATATATATTTTTTAAATCAATGTACTGAGTGTTAAATATTTCATAGAATTCTGTACCTCAGTTTCATGTAAATAAAAGTTTAAATCAATGTTTAACCACTTGCGCTACGATTAAACTTCACGGTTGCGGTGCCGTGCGCTACAATATATGAATATAACAAGCAGTAAAGTGTCTCATTTACTCCGCTCCGCGCCTGCGAGTGCAATCCAGAACTGTAACTCGAGAAATAAACAATCTCGTTGTTAGGCGACGTTTATATTTAAAGTTGTGTTTAAATAAAAAAGATTTATTTGAAAACCTTTCGAAGACTTGGTAGTAAATTTTAGACACAGCGATAATCAGCTTAACGTTTATTAGGGTTTGGAGCTAATTTACACTCCCAAGCAAATAAAATTCTATACATATATTGCAGAACACATTTTTGTTTCTGTATGGAAATTTTAATAGTTTATTTGGGATAATTTTTTTAAATTCCTACTTACGCATGGTCTGAAACTGTGCAGAATATAAAATTGCTGCATTTCCTTCCGTTTCAAATTCACTTTCATCACCCTTTTCTGTTTCAAGCTTTGAACTTCGAGTACTTTCTGAAAAATATAAATCTGTAACTACGAGCAATATATGCCTGTTATAATATAGAACTTAATACCAGAACATATTATAGTCATCGCTTTTTGAAGAAGTAATATTTGTATATAAAACAGTGCTTATAATAGAAACGAAAGATTTTTTGTAATCACATTTCCTATTTGCGATACCTGTTCTAAAAAGCAAAAAGAAAATTATGCTTGTAAATAAAACTAAGGCGATATTAATTGAAAATACTATTAAAAAGGATTCTCATCGGGTAGAACATTTTATCTTAGCAAAATAAGTTCAGTTTATTGAAAAGAATGACATTACAAGAAAAAAAGTGTCAGGAAAGATGAAAATTAAAAATTATTACCTTCATGCAGGTTTAAAGTAGAAATTTAATAGATGATCATACGTACATGCGAAGAAAATACGAACAAACGCAGAATACTGAAAAGTGCAAATCAAAGCAAAACAGTTCTTAAAAATCAGGCAGATTTTCTTGCACGAAAAAGTGCATCACTATTACAGTCAACAAACTCAAATATGTCATACCACTCAATAAGACTAAACGTAAAGCAGTCTATGAAAAGCAAACATCAGTTGAAATTGTTGGATAGTATTAAGACGAAACAATGGAAAGCGGAAGATCCCGCTTGCCTGCCCAGATTATCCAAGACGTAATGCTGTGCCCCCTTTTTGGCTACTTACAGGCCATGATTGCCTGAGCGAACATGTTTACCTAACTGATATATTTGATCAATCATTTTGCAGACTCTGTGATCTTATGGAACCCATGACCATAGCCCATCTTCGTCCCTATGGGCACTTCTTGGTTAAGACTCCGAGACCACACAGTATTGGCATGCCAGAGACTGTCTTAGGCAATGACTTTATATCTTATTATTATATTTTATTCGGAGAAATCAGTGGATGATTTCACATTAGCAGCTGATGGGCCATTGGTTGACTGGGAAAACATTTGAGGACTGCCTGCTTAATCCTTTGAGTACTGAATTATTTGAAGATTTTTTATGCCTATGGAACGGATTTAATTTGTCGCTATATGGATTAATATGTAAAAGTAATACATTTTATTTGGAATATACTTATGTTGGTGACATAATAAATCACCGCAAACATCAACGCCTGCTTCTTAAATTCAGATGACGAGTCAGACTCGTCCACCGTAACTTCGCCCAAGTAAACAGATGACGAGTCTCACTCGTCAAATGTACCCAAAGGGTTAATATTCTGTTGATGGCTTCCTCAGCCAGATAAAAGCAATAAAAGTTTATATGCAAGGGGGATCAAATGAAAAGGTACGAAACGACACGGTGGGTACAAATGTAGACTTTATTCAAAATATACACCATAGGCCTGAGCACAACGATCCCACTGATGAACAAGCAGCAGGATTCCTTTTTCCCAGAATTCCTGTGGCCGTGACGAGACCCAGTCCTTCACAGCGTCATTGAGTACGTCGTCCGAGTTGAAGCGCTTCCCTTTCAGGTGTTTCTTCAGTAGACCAAACACATGGAAATCGCAGGGCGACATGTCCGGACTGTAGGGCGGATGGTCCAACGTCTCCCACTTGAAAAAATGTATGAATGGTCTTAAATTCTTTTTGAAGTAAATAAATGTCTAACTTTGGCCAGTTCCATGTGTGTGACTCTGGAGACGTGTGGACGCGCGTTATCATGGAGCAGAGCCCCACCCTCCGTGAGCAGCCCCAGGCTTTTGTTCTTGATGGACCTGCGTAGGTGTCGGAGTGTCTCACAGTACACATCGGAGTTAATGGTTTTTCTGTGCTCGAGGAATTCCACAAGTAGCGGACTTTGAACGTCGAAAAAGACGGTGAGCAACACCTTGCCTGCTGACGGCACGACTTTGAATTTTCTAGGGGGAGGTGACGACGCATGCTTTCACTGCATGCTGTCCCGCTTTGTCTCTGGCTCGTAGTGATGGCATCAGGTTTCATCACCTGTGACGATCTGCTCCATGAAAGTGGGGTCTTCCTGATACCGAAACAGATGTTGCAGTGGACCAGCAAAAGGAACCATACGCAGTTCCTTTTGCTGGTCGGTGAGCTGCTCCGGAACCCAAGCGGCAGATACCTTCAGATATCGCAACCTGTTGTGAACAATTGTCCACACCGTTCCATAGCTGACATCCACCTTCACCGCCAACATTCGCAATGTGACACGCCGATCACTTCTTATTAGGTCGTCCACCTTGTCGATGTGATCGCTTGTGATGACAGAGTTTGCCTGGCCTGGTCTCAGGTCATCACCCACACTCTCACGGCCTGCACAAAAACGGGCACTCCCTTTTCTGACAGACTTGTCAGAGACATATTTCTCCCTGTAAACTGTCTCCATCCGGCGATGAATAGCTGCCGGTTTCTCACTTCCACTTCCAGAAATCGGATAACACCTCGCTGCTTCACAAAAGCCGAATTTTGCAACGCGAACGCCATCCTGTCCTCACACGGCCTGCCGCATCATTTGGATGCCGCTTTTGACAAGAGCCTCTTCTCTCTCCTGCGCATGCGGACGCCCGCGCATGTCAGATCCCAGTCAGAGACTCCAATCGCATCCCGAGATGTCTCGCTACGTTCTCCCATGGCGGAATATGCAAATATTTAACTGTTACGTTTTTACGCCGTTTCGCACCCTTTCATTTGATAACCCCTTGTAGTTTCTATAAAATAATTCTGCAATTATTGTACACATTATGTATTAAATTATGAAGAACATTTCTACTAATTGCACTATTATGGGAAGGAAAATCAAGTACATTGTATAATATTTTTAACAAAATATATTATTTCACAAATTACAAAAATAGGAAAGGCAGAAAACTTTAAAAAATTAAGTAATAATAATAAGCTTGAGTAATGTATTTCCCGCATAAAATTGTAATTAGTGGAATATTTCAGTCAGTTACGGACTAATTGCACAGGAAGATCAATGCAGGTTGCGTAGTTAAACTGATTCAGTTAAAGCATAGAGGTTTGCTTTATTTGATTACGACAAAACAATGGAGAGTTGTTTTCCTAACGAGAGGTATGCTTTCGTAAAGGACTTTGGCTCGTATAACACTTTACACATGGCTCTTATACATGTTACACACCACGAAAACGCACATGCAGCCAACCAGTTTGCAGAATTCGAGCACTTACCAGTGTTCAGCGACTTAACGGCAGCTATTGGGTCTCAAAGCATACAGGACTTTCTGCCTAAAGAGAAAGTATGTCTTTGTGGAAGAGTTAAAGGAATTTTATTTCGCATTTGCCTTTAATTGCCTTATTCATTCGAATCGGATGCACAGTGTGTTGTTCAGCATGATAGAATTTTGTAATAATTTTCAAGAAATTTTAAGGTAGGTTATTTGAATGGTAACGCACACGAGGTCTATGTACCAATTGAAGAGTACTTCCTTAGCCCCTTCCGGTAAAATGACGAGTCTATCATCATTGGTTTTTCATGCCATATCGCACAATGACGAGATACACTGTCATGCATACTGTTGAATATGATAATTAATTTAGTTTAAAATTTCTAGTGTACTGAATTTCGCAACACCTTTTTTACTTGTGGAAATATCACGGATCCTATCACATATTGTTTACCGTTAGAATTTCTTGGTACAAGTCACGGCCGAATTGTTGTTAGTCTAAGATTTCATTCTTGTAAAAATTTAGTGTGAGCATCGGTCAATATATATTTCTGTAAAGGAGAAACGGTACTTTTCCGTTTGGCCGGCGCAAATTTCTATTTCGCCGGCGCAAGCGATAAAGTTGCCGAGTGTTGAGTTTCATGAAGTGTGTAAGATTTATTTATGGTTGGTGTGAAGAATTAACTTCAGTTAAATGGTGTGAAAAGTTCTTTCAATATTGTTCCAAAATTCAATATTTAAATATTTTTTATTTATGCATTCAAAATAAAAAACCGGTTGGTTTTCGTACCGGAAGGGGTTAAAGGACATTTCAAACTGAATGAGAGGGGAGGGGGAATCTGAAAGCTTTCAGATTTTCTATTACGCCCAAAGGGGCGTTTTCTTCATTTAATACATACACGTTTCGAGAGGATTTAGGCTAAAATATTTAAAAACAGCATATCTTTTCCTGTACAGTGTTGTCGCTGCTCGCTTTAAAAACGTTGAGTTTTTTAATCAAAAATTTGTTAAGTTTCACAGAATGGGAAATAGATTAAAAAATTCGAAATTCAAAATTATTTATCATCATTTTCTTCTCTCTTACGCCACATACAATTCAACAGAAAAAATTCTTAGGATTTTAAAAGCAGCATAGCAACATTTGTTTAGAATTCCTGAAGGCGTATTAAGTTTCTTATTAAAATGACTTGCAAAACTCTTTTTTCGTCCTTTTATTATCAACTTTTTATGTTTTAACTTCATTCATTAATATCACGTTCTTCGCACTCAATACACATAATACTGAATTCAGTGCCAAAAATTACAAAATATTTAAAAACAGCATATCTTTAGAATTTCCAATAGATAGTTTCGCGCGCGCTGGAGATAAAAGTGTTTTATTCCGTATATTGTTGCTAATGCTCGCTTTCAAATCGTTTAAAGTTTTGTAAAATATGAAATAGATTCTAAAATAAAAACAAAATTTAAAACTCGGTGTCCATATTCGGGTGGAGAACATTAACTGTTGTTCAAGTACGCTCAGTTACGAATTTTCGTATCGAGAGTAATCGCTTTGGAAATACCTTAATGTGCGAAAGTTTTTTTATAAGGAAAGAAGCCGATTCACTGAGAGCATCTGCACTTCGTGAAGAAGCTAAATTGTAGCAATTTTTCATCAGTACAGGGGCATTATACAAACAAATTTTGTATTCACATACAAAACTTACAAAAAATGCATATTATGCAAACATATGTATTTCATTTATGTGGCGAAAAAATTTTAATAACAGAAAGTGGCTATATATCGTCATTAATAATTATTCTCAAGTTTTGTTCCACTTGTAAAATTTTCATG